GATTAGTTGTATTCTCAGGTATTTTATTCTTTTTGTGGCACTTGTAACTGGGATTGCCTCCTTGATTTGGCTCTTAGCTTGAACTTTATTGGTGTGCAGAAATGCTACTCCGTTTTGTACATTGATTTTATATCCTGGATCTTTACTGAAGTCCTTTATCTGTTCTAGGAGCCTTTTGCAGAGTATGAAGGGGACTTAAACTTCAGTAATGTCTTATTTTATTTTTAAAAACCTGAAGCAAATAAGGTGTTTTTTTTTTTTAAAGAAAAATCACAGCCCCAAATCTCACCTTTCCAAGTAGCTTTTCTTCTCCGGGGATCACAAAGGACTCCTATAGGGAATTAAATGTTTTGTGCTTGGAAGCAGAAAAAATCTCGAAATGACCTTTGCAGGGTAGAGCCAAATGGAAGATCTGGTGACTCAGGCATGAGTATCGTAGAGAAGCCTAGAGGAAAAAGTACATTTTCTGTTTCTTTAAGAGCTTTGGGATAATTATTTTTACCCTTAAGATGAAATTTCTGAGGATCACATAGGAGGATTATTTTTTTTCCTAACTCACTGACTCTTTCCTTTTCCTTCTATTTTCTGTAATATTTCTGCATGTTTTTCAATCATTCAACAAGCATCGATAAAGTACTCATCCCTAGAAGTAAAGCATCTGGGAACACATTTGCTCCTTTTCTCCTTTCATCATTCTACCTTGGTTTGTAATCAAAACTTGCCAGTGGCACACTAGGGCTTAGGAACTGGAGCTAATGGTCTCCAGTTCCAGCCAGGAATGAGATGAGAAAGCCAGAGAACTTGAAGCTCAAATACTAAAGGAGAGACCATCAGCCTAGGCTTTCCCAGGTTGCAAGATAGGCCCACAGAATAGTACCAAAGAAGCCCTGTTTTAAAAAGTAAAAGAGTTGCCAGGGTTCTATCTTGATAAAATTCAGGCAAGCCTGTAAGATACCTCTCTCAGGTGTAGTTTCAGATATTATTCAGTGCATCCAGTGACAGATAGCTAGCTGCTCTTCTGGGCATAGTTTTCTGTTCTCATCAGAAGTAGATTTTAGCAATTTTGATCAGAAATCTTTTAGACTATTCCTGACTTCCACTGGTCCTGAGCTGTGGTCTTTGTCTTCAACCTCTGAAGTTACAGAAACTAATGTCATTCTTACTTTATAATTCAGGCATTGTAGGCATATTCTTTGTTTTAAAGTCACTAAATTTCTGTATTCAGAGTTGAAAACTCCAAATTTTCTTAACTTGGCTCCAAAATATGCACTTTTTAGCTCTCATACTTCCTGCTAATATTCTACAGACAAATTGCAACTTTCCTGCATTTCTGCTACCACCAAGCGCCCAGAGGATGGCAAAAGAGAGAAGGTCCCAGAGCATATAAGCCTCTTTACCTGAGACAGGTTGCAGTTGTTACCTATTCCCTTTACAGACTACTTCAGCAGTATTGACCCAGGAATGGAAAAGAGCACAGATAGGGACTGAAGACAGAGATCTCTCCAGTCTTCTGGCTAATCTTGGTATAGCCACCTTTAACATCCTCTAGCCAGACTCACAGAAAATGTGAAGCATGGGGTTTGACTCCATTAATATTGGAGCTCTTGTTAGTTCCAGAAGTATCTGGGGCAGTTATAATTGTAGTGCCTCAGAAACTCTGACCTCTGGGAACTTCTTAATCCCTTTTCCCTTGGGACCAAAAGGTCCTCCTGGGATAAACAGGCAGTTAGATGGGAGAAGAAAACGATTTTCTTTCTTCCCATGACAAAGAACCCCTGGTAATCCAGTGCTATATTGACTGCATGTCCTGTAGGCAGTAAGTACATCTCCTGGGTACAGGGATCTGATGTCCACATCCGTCTGTGTTCATATTCACTTGCCTATGCACACTGAACACCTTCTGTGGATCCAATAAGTGAATAGAAATTTTAGTGGGCTTCCTGCTTGTTTTGTTTGATAGGCATTGCCCAAACCATGCTATTGAATGGATTGGTGTTAATCTATCATGGCTTTTATCAAGGTATTATGATAAAAATGCAAGAGAAAACTGAACAAAATCTTACTGAGAAAATGCAATGTGATATTCAGAGAGAAAAGATCTATAGTAATTTTTGTTGTGGTGAGAGGTTTAAAAATGGTATTTATAAATAATCCGACGTTAGTTAGGAACCATGTTTTTCCTTTAGGCTTTATTCTCATTTTGAACCTTATATGAATTATTCACACTTATCAACTAATGGAAACAAACATCATAAGTTTCTTCAAGGCCGTTCTTTTGTTTTATTTTTTTTCCTGTATTTTCCAACATTCTTCCTATTTCTCTCCCTTTAGAAAAGTGAAAACTCCAGTGGATTTAAAATATATCTTTCTAATTAATTTTTGGTATGCTTATACAGGGCTATATTTATTTATGGAAAAATTCTTTTAAAACTGAATTTATACAAATGTCACTGGGTTATAAATCTAATGTTATTCTTTTTTATCAATGCTGTATCTTAAAATTTATACATGTTGCTATATATAAGTTAACTTTATTATTTTTGACTGCTGTTCACTACTGAGGAAAGATCATTTGAGAATTTTACCCAATGCCTGTGAATTATGATGCTTTCCTTTCTGGACAGTGGAAACAGATACTATTTCAGGCCCTGTGAGATGATTGGATACTGCTCTCACTAATTCTTTTAGGTGCCCTCCTCCCTTCCTCCACTTTGGGTAGTGTCCTCATCTGCATATATTCTTTCATTACTTGAGGAAGATCGTCTGTAGATTTTCAGGCTTCTGTCTGTGTGCAGCTTTCTTTTCTCCAGTATTCTTTCTTGAGAGCTTTAGCAGCTTTTGTCTTTGTGTACTCCAATTACATCTCCTCAACTTAGGGACTGCACTGAGTTTCATTTGGTCTATCTTTCTTCCCTGCACTGCAGCCTGAAAACTCTTTCAAGACAGAAAACTGGGGCAGTTGTAGGGCCTGCCTCATTTGTTTCACATATTTCAGGGATTACTGTCCTTACTTTCCTGATATCTAGTGTCTTGAAACTCGTTGTTTACTATATTTTATTCCACTTTTGGTTTGTTTCATCTTAGGTCAGTTAAGAAAGCAAATTCAGTCCCTTTCATCACATCTTGGCTAGAAGCTGAATAATATGATAATTTTTAGAGTAATTTGATTCACCTCTCATCAGTATTTGTTGTAGCTGATCTCAAAAGATGCCCACCCCCAATGCAGCATGCTAGTGAAGAATCAATACTTTGTATGAGCCCCTTATTTTCAATCTGAGATGAGTGTTAGATTCACTTTTGATTGAAAGAATGTGTTGGAAGTGAAACTGCTTGAATTCTGAGACAAGATATTAAGAGGCCTTGTAGCTGCTACCAGGATCTCATAGTTAAGTTGTTTATGGGAATAACTGACTGCACTGAGACAGTTTTGCTGTGATGAAGCCCACATTAGCTATATGGAAAAAACTCATAAACAGAGGCCTATGCTCAGTCATGCTCTGATATTTGAACCATCTCAACACAGGGGACAGGCATGTGAGTAAAAAAGTCATATTAGACATCCCAGCTGCAATACATGTCACACGAGGAAGAACCAAGAAATTCAGCTAACAGCTACATGGTACAGCCTAGCTGTCATGGTCACATCCAATTACTCAATCCATCCCAGTTCATGATCCAGTCATTGTTGTGCGGAAAAGATTTCCCCACTGTTTCCTTTCTGAATTCGCAATGCACAAATTCATTAGCATAATAAATGCCTATTTAGATGACACTAATAGATAACCAGAATATAAATCAACAGTCAATCCCTCTTAGACCTGGGAAAGTAGGGCCCTGGCCCTGGTGTCTGACACGTTATGGGACCCAAGAGTTGGAGGATTTAGCTTATCAGAGAAGCAAGAAATTATTAAGACTGAAATGGAAACATATGGAATGAAAATAGTTATGAAAGACTTGCACGAAGAAGTTGCATAATTTCTATTGAATAGGATTTGACAATGTTGGAGTATACCTAAATTAAGCCAATTGGTTGTCTTGGATTTGATGGAATCGTTCTGAAATCGAACAGCCCTCATTCCTACTATATGATATGGGCATCTGACCCAGAGAAGACCGGGTCTCCTAGGCTGTGAAGGAAAGAGCAGGTGTGTAAGACTGTGAGCCAGGGGACCCAGAGAATCCCCAGAACACCTGAGCAGGGAAAGGAATAGGATATAGCCTTCTCACAGTGACCACTTCAAGTTAGATGCTGAAAGGGCCAAATGCCACTTAGTGGTGTGCAGTGAAGTGTAAATCTGTCTTGTTCTCCAAATGAGCCCTTGGGACTAGGCCAAGGCTGCCTCCCAAGAGAGGCAGGACCATGTACCTAAGTTCCAGTCATGTGAGATACCTGGGGCCACGTATCCAGTCAGGGATACCTGGGGCCACGTAGATATCAGGTCTGGAATGGTGGGATCAGCAGCCCAGGTGATCTCAACCTGACCTCATCACCCTCATTTCATCCCCCTCCCACGCAATCTGGTCTAAGGCACTCAGAAATGTATTTCTGAAGCTCGTTCCCACAACCTGCCTGCATGATTAAGACATGGTCTGACCCCGTCCCTGTTTGATGTTGCTCTCAGTCTATACCTTGGACACATTCCTTAACCACAATGCATTCATAAAATTTGATCAGAGAGACCATACCTCATAAGTGTGTCCTGCGTCTAGAATGGAATATGCTATCAATCAATGCGGCCAGTAATTATTCATCACCAGGAGAAAGAAATTCCTGGCCTTCACTCTGTTGGACTCCAGCCCCGTGTACCAAGACATCACCTGTGCACTGTGGCTGGTCTCTGTGCTGAAGGCACCTGAATCACAGGAACTAAAGGTAGGGAGAAAGAGAAGGAAAGATGGACAAAATCTGTGCGATTGAAGAAGAAACCTAAGACCGCCGAAGATGAGAACAGCGTTGTTAGATTCCTGGCAGACTCGAGAGCCCGAGAATAACAAACCGGTCACCAGGGCCCAGCGGCGTAGGCTCGGGGCTGTTCTCCTTCGCTGCAACTGAGGTCCAGGGTAGGACAGGGCGCTCGCTGGTTACCATGGACACGGCGAGCGGATGCACACCAATCAGAAGACAGCGTTCCTCGCTCCTTTAAATACGCCTCACCCAAAGCAACCTCCTCCATTCTGCTGGAACACAAACGCGCTTCTACGTTTCTATGGAGGAACTTGATTGGTCCTGTAAACCTTGTCCCGCTGGACAAAGACTTGCGAAGGAAAACGAAGTGCCACCAGGATTCCGTGGCCCTCCCTGCCTCCCTCTCCTTTTTCCCTCCATGGCAGTGAAGCTGTGGACGCTTCTCTTCAGGACGGTGAGGTCCAGATGAGTGAGACGCCACATACCGGCAAAGTCCCGGAAGGGTCACCCCAGTAAAAGAGTGGGAAATCCGAGGAAAAGGAATGCAATGGAAGAAACTAAAGAGACTAGGATTAAGAGGATCAAAAGGCGGCCGGGCGCGGTGGCTCACGCCTGTAATCCCAGCACTTTGGGAGGCCGAGGCGGGCGGATCACAAGGTCAGGAGATCGAGACCACGGTGAAACCCCGTCTCTACTAAAAATACAAAAATTAATCAGGTATGGTGGCTCACGCCTGTAATCCCAGCACTTTGGGAGGCCGAGGCGGGCGGATCGCTTGAGGCAGGAGTTCGAGACCAGCCTGGCCAACATGGCAAAACCCCATGTCTAAAAAAAAAAAAAAAAAAAAAAAAAAAGAGGATCAAAAGGCAAAAGAGAATAGGGAGACATGAAGGCGAAATGAGGAGAGAGCCCACTGCGAGCAACGCCTCCAATCCCCTCTGCAGCAGCAAAAGCAGAGGGAGAGCTGGAGGAGTCTTGAACCCCTAAATCCATAGTCCGTGTTGCTTTGAAGGAACCTCCAGGCCCATCTTGGAAGAATGTGTGCAGAGCAGCAGGCTCGTTTCAAAGCAGGACTCCACCCCGTTGAGCACACAACCTTTCAGCAAACTGTTTCACCTATAGGACTCTCCCTTCCGCTCCAGGTGCTCTTTCAGGATGCAAATCTTTCCCATTCCAAATTTGGAATAAATTAGCAACACACTGCTATTTTCAGTTTTCTGTACAAACTTGAAAATTCTGAATGCAGAAAAACTTAAGAAATGAATTAAGGAATGAAAATAATTACAATTTAATTGGTGGGCTTTGATAAAATTAAGATAATCTGCCATTGTTGTATGCAACATCATTGCAATATTTAGATATGATATGTAAAGTTCATTTATTTCCAAATTACAGTAATTGGTTTAAGATTTTAGTGACAATTCTAGTTACTACTACTTCAGCGGAATGAAGTTTTCTAAATTTAAGTCAAGAAAAAAATTCTACCTTAAGACTAAAATGATTCAAGAAGAGCTTATCTAATTTGGCATTAATGTCAACAGAATATTTAGCATGTAAAAATCTGGATTTCAGTAACAATGATTTTGTGGAAATAAAAGTAGTAAAACTACATTTTTCTGAATAAACATAATTAATGATTTTATATGTCTTTTTTGGGCAGTTTTTACATTTATTTAAACAGAAAACGTGCAGACGAGCTGTCTACTCATTTTCTTCACTGCGAGCCTGGCATTGGGATTGGTGACTCTGATGGCCAGTTGGGCAGCTCTTTCCACGAAGGCTTTGCGGTTCTTGGAGGAAACATTGTGAGCAATCTTGGCACAGTAAGATTTATTGCACATCAGCAGCACTTCCAGCTCCTTGACGTTGTGGACGAGGAACTCCCGGAAGCCAATGGGCAGCATGTGCTTTGTTTTTTTGTTGCTCCCATAACCAATGTTGGGCATCAAGATCTGGCCCTTGAGTCTTCTACCAACCCTGTTGTCAACACCTCTGGGTTTCCACCAGTTATGCTTAATTTTGACATATCGGTCTGACTGGTGCTGGATGAACTTCTTGGTTCTCTTTTTGACGATCTTGGGCTTCACAAGGGGTCTGAGGGCGGCCATGATGCCGAGGAGGAGATGGCTGCCACCTCTGTAGGCAGCGCCGAGCAAATTATATCTCATTTTATGTGTTGGATCCACTGTTTATGAATAGAACCTCCTGACATACGTAATCTTACATATAAAATAAATATTCTGTTTTGTAATTCAAATTTTAGCCTTACCACTCGAGTATTTTATATTAATGAGTTTATCCTAACATGGTACATTGCAACACGGCTTATTGCCGTGAAATTCACAAGTTTTCTATTTTGAATCCAAGAACAAATGAAAATGTCTTTTCAGACATTTGTTTTATTGTGGACTGTTATGGAAGATACCGGTGAGCATGCTATTGTATGAATCTTTAGAGAGACTGTGATCAACATTCAAAGACTTTGGGAATGCAGTGATTATGGACTAAAGAGTATATATGGTCAAGTGAAAAGTAAATTTAGCATGTCCAGAAAATGAATTATTGTTCACATTTTCCTGCATATTCTGATCAAGAATTGCATTTGTGGTCACCATCAACTGAGAAGGGTAAGAACCTTGGAGGGTGAAGAGAAGCCAGCATCTGTGGGCAACGGATATATGGATGGATATAATGCGCTGTCATGAGTAATGCTGAAGTTAGTATTAAATAAATGCTACTAAGGAATTGTGGAGGCAAGATCTGTATAATTTCCTCAAAACATGTTCCAAAGGGTCATAGTATTGTGAGTAATAGCAGCATTGCTTCAATTTTCTTGAGGTGGAAAATATAGAATTAACTAGGAATGGCACATTTGACAATATAAAAGAATGAACAAATGCTACCTGTATTGAACTGGAAGAAATGGCACCTTGAGACTGCAAAGAATCTTTATGTAAACTGATTGGACAATATATACATATATAAGGACTTTTCTCTAACTGTTATTCTAACTTTTTAATGATAAGCCTATATACATTTTATAATAGGCTTATAAATATTAAAATGCATTTTAAACATTATTTATATTGACAAGGATTTTTCAAACTCCATAAGTGGCCTTTAATGCAGTTGAACGTGCCCTCTTAATACGTCATAGTGCATTTTGAAGTGATTTGTTCTGTGACTCTTTTGTTTCTGCCTCTCTTCCCCTGACCACTACTTCTGTTGTTTTCTCTCCATGCTACTCTCCCTACACCAGAAGTTAAGGATAATGTAGGGGCTCTTCAGGGGTTTTTGGTAGGTTTCCTTCTCTTCTCACTCTGTTCTTTTCCTGGGCCATCCCTTCTACTTCCATTGCTTCACTTATAATCCATAATCAATTCCCATATTCATATCTTATTTGAGGGCCAAATCTGTAAGTCCAAAAATCAATAACCATGATAAAATTAACCTACACCATTTTGTTATAAGACCAACAGGTTTGTATGTCCACTGTTTAGTAACAGAACCATTACACTCAGATAGCAGGAATGCAGCAGAGATAGGATTTATTGATCATAGAGTGTCAAGCAAGGATATGGGAGAAGACTCTGAAATCCATCTCCCTGAGGGGTTCTGGGGAAGAATTTTTAAGGGGATGGAGGGTGATGGGATGGAAAATCAGAGTTGTTTACTGTTCAGGGCAAGGAGAATGAAGTCATCTGGATGAGGAAACTGCAGACAACAAACAACTATGAGGCAGCAGGTCAGAGAGCAATCTGACTTAATAATCAATGCTGAAAGTGCTGCAAGCTTGGTTTATTTTTGTTTATCTAGCTCCCATCTTCCCTGATTAATTTTATACAGTTTATAGAAGTGATTCTCATTTCTTTTATCAAATTTTCAACTTTACCACATTATATACTCATTTTTTTTTCACGCTTTAATGCCTTTAGTTTTCCGCCCCCCTTAATATTTATAGATGTTATCTTCAGGAGTATCAGGTCTGTCTGGATGTTACTTAACCATGCCAGAAATGGAAAACTGTCTGATACTAGTACAAGCACTCGAGGTTTCTTATGATTTAGTTTGCTTTGTATACTTTTTTCCATTCTTATAGTTTTTATTCTGTGTTATATTTATATATATTCTGTGTTATATTTAAAGTGAATTTCTTCTGAACAGCATATAGGACAGACTTGCTTTTTTTTGAAAAAAAAAATTCATCTATTTCTTCCATTCATTTAGACTTAGGTTTCTCAGCCAGAGCACTGTAAACATTTGGACTAGACACTTCTTTGTTGCTGCAGCTGGGAGTAGAGTGCTATTCTGTACATTGTAGGATTCATTTTTTTAATTATTATACCTTAAGTTCTAGGGTACATGTGCACAACGTGCAGGTTTGTTACATAGGTATACATGTGCCATGTTGGTTTGCTGCACCCATCAACTCATCATTTATGTTAGGTATTTCTCCTAATGCTATCCCTCCCCTAGCCCCCCACCCTCCAACTGGCCCCAGTGTGTGATGTTCCCCACCCTTTGTCCAGGTGTTCTCATTGTTCAGTTCCCACTTATGAGTGAGAACATGCGGTGTTTGGGTTTCTATCCTTGTGATAGTTTACTGAGAATGATGGTTTCCAGCTTCATCCATGTCCCAACAAAGGACATGAACTCATCCTTTTTATGGCTTCATAGTATTCCATGGTGTATATGTGTCTCATTTTCTTAATCCAGTCTATCATTGATGGATATTTGGGTTGGTTCCAAGTCTTTACTATTGTGAATAGTGCTGCAATAAACATATGTGTGCATGTGTGTTTATAGTAGTATGATTTCTAATCCTTGAGTATATACTCAGTAATGGGATCGCTGGGTGAAAGGGTATTTCTAGATCCTTGAGGAACCTCCACACTGTCTTCCACAATGCTTGAACTAATTTACACTCCCACCAACAGTGTAAAAGCATTCCTATTTCTCCACATCCTCTCCAGCATCTGTTGTTTCTTGACTTTTTGATGATCACCACAGTAACTGGTGTGAGATGGTATCTCATTGTGGTTTTGATTTGCATTTCTCTGATGATCAGTGATGATGAGCATTTTTTCATGTGTCTGCTGGCTGCATACATGTCATCTTTTGAGAAGTGTCTGTTCATATTCTTTGCCCACTTTTTGGTGGGACTGTTTGTTTTTTTTTCTTGTAAATTTGTTTAAGTTCTTTGTAGATTCTTGATATTAGCCCTTTGTCAGATGCAAAAATTTTCTCCCATTCTGTAGATTGCCTGTTCACTCTGATGCTAGTTTATTTTGCTGTGCAGAAGCTCTTTAGTTTAATTAGATCCCATTTGTCAATTTTTGCTTTTGTTGCCATTGCTTTTGGTGTTTTAGTCATGAAGTCTTTACTCATGCCTATGTGCTGAGTGGTGTTGCCTAGGTTTTCTTCCAGGGTTTTTATGGTTTTAGGTCTTACGTTTAAGTCTTTAATTCACCTTGAGTTAATTTTTGCATAAGGCGTAGGGAGGAGTTCAGTTTCAGTTTTCTGGTTATGGCTAGCCAGTTTTCCCAATACCATTTATTCAATATGGCATCCTTTCCCCATTGCTTGTTTTTGTCAGGTTTGTCAAAGATCAGATGGTTGTAGATGTGTAGTGTTATTTCTGAGGCCTCTGTACTGTTCTATTGGTCTATATATCTGTTTTGGTATCAGTATCATGCTGTTTTAATTACTGTATCCTTGTAGTATAGTTTAAAGTCAGTTAGCATGATTCCTCCAGCTTCGCTCTTTTTGCTTAGAACTGTCTTGTCTATACAGGCTCTTTTCTTGGCTCCATATGAAATTTAAAGTAGATTTTTCTAATTCTGTGAAGAAAGTCAATGGTAGCTTGATGGGGATAGCATTGAATCTATAAATTACTTAGGGCAGTATGGCCATTTTCACAATGTTGATTCTTCCTATCCATGAGTATGGAATATTTTTCCATTTGTTTGTGTCCTCTCTTATTTCCTTGAGCAGTGGTTTGTAGTTGTCCTTGAAGAGGTCCTTCACATCCCTTATAAGTTGTATTCCTAGGCATTTTATTCTCTTTGTTGCAGTTGTGATTGAGATTTCACTCATGATTTGGCTCTCTGTTTGTCTATTCTTGGTATATAGGAATGCTTGTGATTTTTGCACATTAATTTTGTATCCTGAGATTTGCTGAAGTTGCTTATCAGCTTAAGGAGATTTTGGGCTGAGATGATGGGGTTTTGTAAATATACAATCATGTCACCTGCAAACAGAGAAAATTTGACTTCCTCTCTTTGTATATGAATTCCCTTTATTTCTTTCTCTTGCCTGATTGCCCTGGCCGGAACATCCAATACTATGTTGAATAAAAGTGGTGAGAGAGAGCATCCTTATCTTTTGAAAGTTTTCAAAGGGAATGCTTCCAGATTTTGCCCATTCAGTATGATATTGGCTGTGGGTTTGTCAGAAATAGTTCTTATTATTTTGAGATGCATTCCATCAACACCTAGTTTATTGACTGTTTTTAGCATGAAGGGTTGTTGAATTTTATTGAAGGCCTTTTCTGCATCTATTGACATACTCATGTGGTTTTTGTCATTGGTTCTGTTCATGTGATGGATTGTGTTTATTAATTTGCGTATGTTGAACCAGCCTTGCATCCCAGAAATGAAGCTGAATTGATCGTGGTGGAGAAGGTTTTTAATTGCTGCTGGATTCAGTTTGCCAGTATTTTTATTTTATTTTATTTTTCATTATTATACTTTAAGATATAGGGTACATGTGCACAACGTGCGAATTTGTTACATATGTATACATGTGCCATGTTGGTGTGCTGTACCCATTAACTCGTCATTTACTTTAGGTATATCTCCTAATGCTATCCCTACGCCCTGTCCCCTCCCCACAATAGGCCCCAGTGTGTGATGTTCCCCTTCCTGTGTCCAGGTGATCTCATTGTTCAATTCCTACCTATTAGTGAGAACATACAGTGTTTGGTTTTCTGTTCTTGTGATAGTTTGCTGAGAATGATGGTTTCCAGCT